TGTATTTTGTTGTTTTTTTTCTAGTCTGTTTGTAGCTTCGTTCCCTAAATGCTATGTATGCACTGTCAAATTGATTCAATGCTTTATTATTGTTGTGTTTTGTCTACAGTATTTTTGTGCTTTCCTCTGACCTCTCAGGCCCCCTAGCAAGTACATACATGTAAGTGACAATCACAAAAGGACCAGCCAGATGACTGGCGCACACACACACACAGTTGAACATGTCTCAAGATCTGTCCTGTTAAAATCCAACCTCTTACTTTGATTTATGAGTGTAAATATAATTAATGAGCATGTTTGACTCCAGATGATTGAAAGCTTTTCGCACAAACAAGTCAAAAGCTCTCCAAACTGACACACAAAAAGTGAAAACTGAAAGCCAAACTGAAACAAAAGTAAAGAAACCCTCATCCAAGCAGAGCCTGACAACTCTATACCTAAAACATTTGCTTGCTTACCACAACCGTCCTCCGGAAGTCAGACTTAGCTTTACCATGTGCCAAGGTGTATCTAATTAACCGATTAACTCAGGAGCAACAGCCCGCAGTGAGTGGCGCTGCGCTCATGCCAGCGTCACTGGGGTGCGCGACTCTTACATTGATGTATCGATCAGTATGTTATCGATCAGTCTCTGAGGACTCACCTCTCAGCTGGGCACCGCAGCTCTGCCACAGCAACGCGGGCACAAGCACAAGCACAAGCACGAGTCGCTTCATCTTATTTAACCTGTAGTTCTGTACCGGACCGCGCGCGCTGACACCTCGCGCGCCTCTGCGTGGACTTTAACGCCAAAAGGAAAGTTTCAGAGAAGTTAAACCAAACTCTCTCTCTCTCTCTCTCTGTCTCTCTCTCTCTCTCTGTCTCTCTCTCTGTGTCTCTCCCTCCACCCTCCACACAACCCTCTCATTCCCCTCCTACAAGTGTTTTCAGTTTCTGCTGCTTCCTACTTCAGCTTCACTACATTATAGAGGCAAATACTCTACTTTTTGCTCCATTACACTTAGTTACTAGTTACGTTTCAGAATCAGGTTAACAAAACAAATTATAATCATAAGACTTTAAAAAAATATGGCATCTTAGCTCATGTACTTGGTCACTTTCCATCTGTGCTATTAGTTGTTTAAATAAGATGAAATGTAGTTTTAACTCTACATTCTGGGGCTTTTGGGGGTGTATTGCAAACTGGGGTACTTTTCATTATAGTCCACTGACCTTTAAACAGTGTTGTAAGAAAACTGTCCATGGCTGGTGGTGACACAGAAGAACTCATGGGACTATCTGGATGTAAGGCAGGCGTAAAATGTTGAATCTATGAAGGGTTTTTAAGGCACGCTGTATATCAGTGTGTTGCGGAACTAGAGCAGCTTCACATGCTACAAAGCAAATGAAATGTTGCATCAGCACAGCTTTGGTGACCACAAACAAAGCACCATAGAAGAACTGAGTGGAGCACAAAGTACACAGGAGGTATGAGAGAGCAGAGTTAGAAGTTTTGGTCCAGTGGAGTCCACCCCGTTACATACATTACTGCTCTGTGGCTCCTCCTGCTGCCCTACATAACTCACCACACTCTGGGGCAAAACTTTGCATGACTGCTCATAAAAACAGTCGATTGCACAGAGACAGAAAGATGAACTGAAGGAAGACAATGTGTTCTTGCATCTTTTGTTGACAAATTTTGTTACTAAACTCAAAAAGTTGCTGCAGTAAACAGATTCAACAATGTAAAACTGGATGAAGATGAACTCAGTAAACAAAAATCAAAACTAAAACACATTACAGTTGCTAAATTATGACCTACAGCTGGTTATCAAAGCATTCTATTTGTTACTGCAGCTTAATTTTTCTTACAGCACTGCTAAAATGTGAGTTGTATCTTATAGCAGCATGTCAAAGTGGATACATTATTCAGCAAAAAATAAAAAAGAATTAAGAACTAAGTTTTGCTCTCCTTTACTTCCCTCAGTGTGTTTATCTACTGTGAGGTCATTAAAGCTGTTTACCCCTTCACCACTGGCTTATTATAATGTTACAGCTCACCACCTTGTCAGTCACTTCACACAGCTAGAAATGTGTTGTGCAGGTGGGCTTATGGCATCGTGCATCCTGTGTTTGGACAGTTACTTTGCGGACAGATGACGTTGAGTGTTTATGTGTGTGTGTGAATTTTAGTATGAGAGTGTTTATGTGTCCAGTGTCATTCAAGCATTCTGAGACCCTCGGACCTTCAGAGGCAGAGAGGCTGACTCTGCAGACAGTGAGGCTGAAGATGAGGTCTCTTCACTGGGCTAGGAGCTCTGGGCAGCCCTGCAGTGCCACTGGGTCTCTGTGGGGCCAGGCCATGTCGAGGCTGCACCTTGACTGGATGACAAGGTGAGTCACATCATGAGGTATGAATTAAATTCATGTAGAGTTTATGAGGATCTGAAAGACAACTCTTTAAATACTAGTGGAACTGCTTGCAGTTTTCTAAGTAACTCTTACAAAAGTGGCTGAGGGCACAGGAATCATAAACTCAACAGTGGTTTTGATCCGCAGATTCTTCCAGGAAGATGAAGAGATGGTGATTCTGACCCACCGTGATGAGCTGAGCAGAACCTATGGTGAGGAGAGCAGATTGTGTTTTGATCACATTACAAACAAAAATACAAGCTCTAATGACACAAGAAGAAACAAAACATTATCTAGAAGAAACAGCAAGTTGCTGACTAAGCAAGAAGATCACACTGTGAGGGGCAGACCAGCTCCCAGCCTGATGAGATCCACCAGCCCCTCACGACAGGATAACCCAGCTTTAAAGGAAACCAGAGTCACTGTAATCTCTACTGAACCCAGAACCATCACCACAACTTCAGCCGTCTCCACTCCAGTATCCCGTTGGTTCAAAAACACCAGAGGTCATGAGAAAAGAAGAAAATCCTCCAAGAAGCAAGCTGACAGAATGGGAAGCAACGATGAGGAGAGCTCAAGTTTCAACCAGAACAAAAGTAACAAGAGAACATCCTGCAAACTGGTCGGGTCACTTACAGGGAATGTCCAAAAGCAGGCACTTTCTGAAGATGGAGAGCAAACTGAGGAGTGGACTTCTCAGGTCTGTACCACCGCTGAAGAAGAGAGAGCAAGTATGAGCGTGGCTAATCCAGCTCAGAGCCCCAATACTGGCATTGCAGCTCCGAATCCCTCACCCACTATCACCACCTGGGAGGCCAGCTGGAATGTCACCAATGCTATCCAGGTAGACTTACTGTACATATGCATGGTTAGAATTATTTTACATATGTAAGACAAGAGAGAAAAATACATGGAAACATTTTAATTTAAAGGACAATTGCAGCATTTTTCAGCCACTACACAGCACACAAGTTTTGTATTTTGAGTCAGTTGTTGAACAGTCTACACGCTCTTTCCCACAAAGTCCTTCTGAGTTTCTCATAACATAGCTTATGCTAACCACAGCTTCAAATCTGTAAACACATTCACTGTTTTGTTCAATTTCAAGCATGTCATCCCTCCTGTTTCTCCCAAGCTTCACATCTCTCCTTCTTTTCATCTTTAATAAGACAAATGCAAAATGTAAATGCCAGTTGTCCAGGCTCCAAGCTGAACACTACATTCAAAAAGCATTAAGCTTGCAGACCATTTAATCTGCTCCCATTATGTTCTAATAATACTAAACAATGCTTTGTGGTCGTGCAGGCTGTTTGTCAGGGACTCTCCCGTATTCGTAATCAAATCAAGTCAATCAAACCATTTTAGAGAAGCTCCTGCTCGCACCGTGTCCTTGTGGCAGTTATGCTAATAACTTATTATGCTGTAAATGCTGGGCCATGTTCAGCTGCCATGCTCATGTAAATGTGTTCTCTCACTGAATAACTGTACCGTAATTGGGCATCGTCACTGTGTCCGTAAAGAATACATTATGACATTAGGGCATAAATACAGTGTACGCATGCATAGGCACACATGACAAATGAAGTCACGTGCATGCAAACATGCTCTTTGAGGAACTGAGGTGAACTTTAAAACAAATGCTTTTGCATCAGACTAATATAAGCAAAGATTTTTAATCACCATCAGCACTGCTGTCACTACATAAATATAAACTGTATATTAATGCATTGTATTTAGTAGATAAACAAGTATTGATTGCTAGTGGTTTATTGATGCTAGTCTGTCTGTCTGAGTGCCAAAGTTGTTTTGCCCAGCTTTCACAGAAACCAGTCTCCACTAAGACTGTGATATAATCCACTTCAGATCTATGAATTGTTATGTCTGTAACCTCCATTCTTCATACTAAATTTGAATTAACTAGTCCCTAAAACCACACTGTCATTGGAATGTAGTTCCTATTTTACTCTTTTCCTGCAGGTATGTTTTTTTTTAGCTCCTCTCTGGGCCTGTTATGTTGGTTCATTTTGCACCAGCACACTGTGATCAAAAAGCTTAACCAAATGGACTGTTTAGTAACCCCTTTGGTTAAGGTAACAGACAAGTTAAGTTAAGGTGACTAACAGAACAAACATGAGACTATATAAATTGGAATAATGACAGATCTATTTGTAAAGGGTCTAACTGATGTCTTCATAATGTAAAAAGAACAGCAGTTTTATCTCCTATCAAGGCTAAAAAGAAAGTGGTGGTTCATTGATGCCAATATCACTGAGTGTCTGCCAACTTAATAAATTTTTTATTAGAGACTAAATTTGATGCCAAAAATGAGAAAAACAATCAGCTCCGGCTCTCAAGGCTCCCAGTTTGGGAATAATATGAGGCTCAGTTTGAATTCCAACCTGATTGTTAATGAGGCAGTTCAGTTTGTGTGTCTTCATCACAGATTAGAGACGTGTGGATTTTGTCACTGAGGAAAAACTGACATTGATTTAAGTGCCTATGACTGAAGCATGGTATGTTTATGAACTTCATTTTTACCTTGAACTGGGTTGAAAATTCTAAAATGTGATTTATAAATCAAAACGCAAACCAAATTCATCCCAAGACCCTGTGGAAAAGCTAGTTTGAATAAAAGCAGCACATTAGTGCACTGACAAGAAGAAAATAAGCAGACTTTTGTTGTATTAGTGCCAACATTCTCCATTTATTTGGTAGAGCGATCCTTTGTTGTCATTATTGCCATCATCACCATTATTCCTGC